ATTTAAAGATGAGCAGTCACTAGTTGAGGGCTAGAATCACAGCCTGGATGGCCCCAACTCCAGGGCCTATGCTGATTCCAAGATAACTTGCTGCTTCTCTCTTGTTCTCAATTAAACAGATGGGGTGACATAGAACCACAGTGACACAGAATTCAACACCTAGGTCCTAGGGCATGCAGTAGTGATTCTGATATAACCTGGACACCCAAATTTTAACACATACCTTAAAAAACCAACAGAACAGGAAACACACACTTGGTCCCAGGAGCCACCACTTACCTCCTTATAACCCAATGTCCATTCCAAATTCCAGTGTGTGCTGCAGACCAGCCTTAGCAGTTTGCCTTCCCAGCTCCATGACAGGCTGTCAGTTCGTTACAAAGGTACTTAACCTGAGTCTATACCAAGTGCAATCAATGCTCAGGAGGCTCTTATTCTGATAAGCTCTTGTCCTGCTAATCTGAGCAAACTTTCCTCTCCTTTCTGCTACTGCTTCTCCAGCCAGCACCAGTGCATCAGTCAGCTCAGCCTGCCATAGCAAAATACCATGCTGGGCGGCTTAAACAACAGACATTTATTTCTCACAGTTCTGGAGGCTGGGAAGTCTGAGATCAAGGTTCTGGCATGGTAGGTTTCATCTGAGGCCTCTTCTTGGCTTATAAGCAGCCACCATCTCGCTGTATGTGCACATGACTATTTTGTTTGCACACAGGGACAGAAAAGCTCTCTGGTGTCTCTTCTTATAGGGGGGCACTAATCCCATCATAAGGGCTACACCCTCATAACCGCATCTAACCCTAATCACTTGCTGAAGACTACTTCCAAATACACTGGGGTTGGGATTCAACATGAGTTTGTAAGGGTGAGGAACAAACATTCAGTTCATAACAATGGCTTCTAGGAAGTCTTCTTCCCTCTCTTCATAAAAGCAGCATGAGTATACCTGATGGTAAAACTACCCCACACTCCAACAGGAGTTCAGTCACTTAAAAACACAAATGATTTAACAATTAAGTCATTAGACAGAAAGCACATTCATCCAACTCCTTGTAACCACTATTTTTGATCTCATTTTAAGGGAACTGAAACTCTTTGTGTCAAATCTAATCTGCGGGTACTCTTTGTATGTCCCATTTGGTTTTAAAAACTTTGAATGGGTTGCCCAGATTTTGAAGTCCAACTTCACACTGAAATCTGGATTTGATTCAGCACCCTGTGACTGCTCTGCCCTCAGGTGGGCCCAGTGGAGCCGAGCAGAGGCTGCTCTCTGATCAGCATGACTGCCATCCCTCTGTACCCACCCACTGGACCTTTGCAGGCCAAGGTTTTTCTGGTCTTTTCATATAGAAATGCAAACGAGAGGCTGGTTGCTGTTGTCCAGGCAGCCCTGCCTGCTAGATGTCAGTTTCCCAAGGAATTCAGGATTCTCTAGCTTTTTCTAATCCACGGACTCCAAACTGAATTCTACATTTCATTTACACTGAGACTCATTTGACTGTGTAAACAGTTTCTGTTTTAGTTTTAGGACAGAACTCTTCCTTCAACTTGGTTGTCAGGCATGCTTCTCAATTTGGAAGTGAATATAAGTCATTCTTGCCTCTTGGAGCTTATCTACTGGTAAACAGACAGCAGGTCAAGGGAAAAGATGTTTCGGTGTGTAGGAAACAGATGGTCTTGCTGAACAAAGATTATGGCATCTCTGATTCTTCAGCCAAGATAATGACTTTTTAATTGGCAATTATATAGCAATGTAACTACTTTAAAAAAATTACAAATCCCTTTAGATTGATCTAAAGGTCCTTGAGATTTGTTTTACCCTCTTCCTGATCCCAAGAATGAAGACAATGAGAAGAACTGCTACTGAAACAGCAGCTCAACATTATCACTTGGATCAGGCCTCACATTTACCAACCTTTTCTCACAGCAGTATTCAATCCTCACAGCAGTCCTGGAAAGGATAGGTTAAGGATGATCAGCATTATTTTATAGATAAGGGAATAAGCCCAAGGGAGTCTTTGCATTCATTGCTCATAGCCCCTGGCTACTAAAAGGAAAGTGTATACCATATAGGAGGGGGCTTCCGTGGTGGCGCTTGCTAGTGGTAAAGAATCTGCCTGCCAGTGCAGCAGATGTAACAGACACAGGTTCAGTCCCTGGGTCAGGAAGATAACCTGGAGGAGGGCATGGCAACCCGCTCTAGTATTCTTACCTGGGAAATCCAACGGACAGGGTAGACTGGTGGGCTGCAGTCCATGGGGTCACAAAAGTCAGACATGACTGAAGCAACTTAACACACATGCATTCCTAAACACTCAAGCAGGCAATTAAATTCCTCATCACTGGGATGCCAGAAAGACTCAGGTTATCTGTAATATTTTCTGCGAAATGCTCTTCCCCGAATTCTAATAAAGTTTAGGCATTTAGACACATTTCATCACATAGTGGACAACTTATGCATCAGTAAAGGGACTGTAGAATTTCCCGGCTGAAAAGGATTCTTGAGCTGACTATCTAGTGACAATCCTCACTTGGGCTTACAGATGACATCCAGGAGTGGTCTTCTGCCCATTTCAGTGTTCATCCCCTGCATTGCTCCTGAGATGGGCTGTGTATTATTAGTGTCCTTCATTTTTGCCACCTCTCACTCTCCCCCTCAACAAACACACCAAATTGATCACAGCCCATTGTATTTAAAACCACAGTTCTCATTTGTGAATCCCATTGAGGCCTGCTGTGACTCTATGGCCTCAGCTTGGCACTCAGGACACGGTGGAAGTGGCTCCTCCCTGGATCTCAGGTTAGGTTCTCTCTTTGGATCCCTATATGCAACCCACACCATAATACCCTACTCCTCCATATGTTCTATACTTATTTTCCTGTTACCTGGTTCATGCTGTCTTACTTTTTCCTCTCAGGGCAAATCTCCCCAGGCATAAAAGTCAGATAAAACCTCCACCCCCAAAGAGAACAGAGCACAAGGCTGAATTGCATCAGAAGTGTCTGATCAGCAATTTCCAACTGTGGGAAAATCAACAAGCTAGATGGTCCTGGGGACTTCAACAGACAAGCGATGGGGAAAAGGGATGGAAGGGTAGCCAGATTAACAGACTCAAAGAAATTTAAAAAAGAAAAATAGCAAGACCACTCTGGTGTCCAGGGATGTACACATCAGGTGATGAACTAATAAACACAAGGAAGTGTCAGACAAGTGGTCACTTTTGGAGGGAGGGAAGATGATTCTGATGGGGGAACATGATGGGGCTACTGGAAAGGCTGGCAAAGTTCTTCACCTGGCTGGGAGGTCAAAGGTGATTTGCCTTATAATAATTCATTAAACTAATTTGTTCAGTAAGATTGTCTGTACCTACTTAAGTTTACAATAAAAATGTTTAAAAACGGGGACTTCCCTGGTGGTTTTCACACTCCCAATATAAGGCGCCTGGGTTTGATCCCTGGATGGGGAACTAAGATCCCACATACCTCACAGTATGGCCAAAAAAAAAAAAAAAAAAACCAGTTTAAAAATGGAAAACAAGCAACTTACTCTTCCTAGTCACATATACCTATTTGATATTATGGTTACCTCCAGATAGTGGCTCAGAATAGTGTGAAGTAAAAGTAAGCTTTGACTTCCTACTCTGTTACTTACTAATAATGTGACTTTCAGAAGTTTGCCTCTGAGCAGTGTCGCCTCTCTGAGCTTCTTGTTCTTCACCTGGAAGATGGGAATTATATCAGCAATACAGCTGATGTCAAATGATGTTTGCTCTGAGGATTAAATGAAGTTTTCCATGTACAACATTTAAAATGTTTGGCATAATGTTTAATAAAGATGAGCTATTATTGATATTCAAACATCAACAACTACATATTTAAACTGACCTTTAACTATTATAATTATCCACAATATCAATGTTCCTTTAGTATTTAAAGGAAATATATTGCTGTGTTGAGTTATGCTCTCCTAAAACACCTACTCATAAACCAGCTGTTAGAATCTCTCTCAGTGAACATATTTTTAGGACAAACTACTGCCTTTTAGAAACAAATCCTAATTATATGTTAGAATATTCACATGGGTGCATTACTCCTTTAAATTAATAATAAATCTGATGTAAAATTTTCAATCAGCAAGTTATGATAGGAATTAAGCATCTAGTCCAGCTCTTCTTACACATCAACTCTGTAATAAACTTGGTTCTTATATGTATTTTACATGTTTATATTTCTTTGTATTTGTGATCACATAAGATGACTTTAATGCTGAAATCTTTTTTATTTGAAACCTCCTCTCCCTCTTTACATCTCCTCTTAAAAATATTGTAATTAATGTGTAGTTCAGTTCAGTCGCTCAGTTGTGTCCAACTCTTTGCGGCCCCATGAATCGCAGCACACCAGGCCTCCCTGTCCATCACCAACTCCTGGAGNAAGGTGGTGTCATCTCCATATCTGAGGTTATTGATATTTTTCCCAGCAATCTTGATTCCAGCCTGTGCTTCTTCCAGCCCAGCGTTTCTCATGATGTACTCTGCATATAAGTTAAATAAGCAGGGTGACAATATACAGCCTTGAAGTACTCCTTTCCCAATTTGGAACCAGTCTGTTGTGCCATGTCCAGTTCTAACTGTTGCTTCCTGACCTGCATATAGGTTTCTCAAGAGTCAGGTCAGGTGGTCTGGTATTCTCAGCTTTCAGAATTCTCCACAGTTTATTGTGATCCACACAGTCAAAGGCTTAATTAATGTGTAACACACATTAAACTATTAACAGCGTGACTCCTCCTTGAATACTGTATGAAAAATAAATGAGATGCTGTGTCTGGAAATACAGATGTGCTGAAATATTAATGAAGGGATTTAGGAATGATCAGGTATGTCAGTGGAGCTGTCTGTATGAGATACTGGAAATGTGAGGCAAATTCTGTGTTTACTACCACTAGTAAATCTATCTTAGAAATAAAAATATAAGGTCTTTAAAGTGAAAAATTAAACTAGAATGGATATCATTAACAAAGCAGTCAATTCCCTTTATTTTTAAAATTTTATGTACACATATGAATGATCTGTATAATGTACATTCAATATAGAAAGCTTTATATATCTGATAATGTATAGAACATTTCACAATTACACTAATCTCTTACATAACATCTTGACGTCTGTTTTTAAATTTTTTTGCACAAGCTCCTTTTTCATTCAGTTTGGTAAAGCCAGTTATATATATCAACATGTACTGTGAGCTCTCAGGAGGTTAAATGATTGAGGAGAGGATACCAGTGAACAGGTGCAAGGACAAAACCCAAAAGTGTTCAACAATGGGAGAACAGCCAGGCAGACTTGAGGCAGGAGAGGGAATGCCCTTCTGGGGGCCGAGTGACTTTGATTTCCCAATCTCTGTAGACTGCAGTTCAACCCCACAGTCACACTAATTCGAAAAAACATTATAAAAACTAGGAAGAAAGCTTTGTCTTTTTGATTCACAGTCTTGTAAACAGATATAAAGGAACAAAATGTGCTTACATACATCAAGAAAAAAAATTCTTGTGTACCCACTTAGGTTGATCCACAGAGTGCTTTCTTATAACGTGATACAATTAGAATCACTGACTTTTTTTCCTAAATAAAAATATATTTATAGAAAAAGGAATAACACTGTCATGAAACCAGGAGAAAGGCAGTTAAGAGTTTTCTTCAATGGATCAGCTGGAGGAATGTGGACAGGGCACTGGCCTTTCAGCGTTTATTGTCTCTCATGAAAGTCTCACGTCTGATAGCCAAGGTCACCTGCCTCATGGTCTACAGGAGGTGGCAAGTTGGACATGACTGATGAGGATGTCCCTGCAGTAAGGTAGCCAGCAACTCCAGGTCCTGCAAGAGAAAAAATGGAAACCTTCTAAAGAGCAGTCATGTGAGAACACGGACCTTTGTGAAAATGTGAGAACCAGGTCAAGCATTCCATCACAAGGACCTGATGCAATCTATTAGGATTATCTAAGCATACAACAAAATCTTAACAAACACCCGCAACACCATTTTCATGGTTTGCCGTTACTGTATGACAAAGTTAAAAATCATTTCAAAATTTATGCTAGACAGTAACACTGGTGAGGAAACATGGAAAAGTTTTCCCTTCTCACATCTGGGAAGTTCAATTTAAAAAAAATCCTGGGCACTGAAGGATATAGCTAATGTTAAATGAGAAAAAAAAAATGGGAAAGAAACTCTGTACTCGAGTTAGCCCATTCAAAAGTCATACTTGATGAAGTTCACAACAAAAACACATCCATCTATACTTAAGTTAAACCTATTTTCATTTGGTGCAAAAAAATGCTACTGTAACAAATAACACCAAATGAACAAGGGTCTCTGAGAAAGATAAGGCAAACTCTTGACACCTAGTCATAGGTCAAAACATGAATGCTGTGGAAAAGGTATCAGTATTTTAGTTTTATATGTCTTGACTCTTAAGTCTCTAGTGCACAAAAATGCCATTATCCCAGCATTTATCAAGATGTGTCTTATGAGCATATAATGGCTTTAGCCTTCTAATTTAACTTAAAACAATGCAGGGACATTTAATTACACCTCAAAATCATTGCATAACTGTACAAAGTATTTGTAAAACACACTGTACTATAGCATAATACTACATATTGAGCAATATTTTTAGCTGAAATCATAGGAAACAAAGCAAGCAGCTAGGGAACACTGAAGGGTTAGGACTAGAAAGGCAGAGGAAGTGGCATGCATTTAGCAAAATGGTTCTCTACCTGCTTCAGAGAGCTACACAGAAGTTAGCAAGCTGCCTGGCAGAGCGGATCTAAAGTCCGCTCCTGAGGTGAAGGGGGCTGCTGCCAGTGAGAAGGGAAGGAGAGACACCTGAGGGGAAAAAAGAAATATAAGCAGCAACGGAAGTTGTAAGGAAGTGCAAACAGCAGAGCAGGTTGAAAGGCTAAGGTATAATAGGGACTGAAGTAGGACAAAAGGGGAACAATATAGATTCATTTTTTTTTAACCTCTGGAGCATTTGTACTGAGGATATGAAGAAAGCAGACACTGTAACATGTGGTTACACGCAGCCAGAGACAACTCAGCCTGCATGAACTGCCCATGCCACCTGGAATGCCTAGGCACCTGGAACTTTGAACTTAGAAAACTTAAGGATTTTCTGTTTTTTAATGCATTGTGGGCTTACATCTATCAATTAATCAGGACACCAGGCCTTACCTAGACTGCTCAGGAGAGACAGTAGGGAGGACAGGAGACACACCCCCTTGACAGGCAGTTCAGAGCTACAGTGCCACTCCATTGTATTACTTCCTGCCAACCTTCCACTCTGGACCCTAGGCAGCAGCAAGACTGTTAGGGAATAAACCCTTAAGAATAACCCCCTGAACATTCCAGATTGGTATAGTCCCTGAGCACTTCTGATTGTGGGCTCAATTTTGTTCACATCAAACAAACTGATTATGAGACCAAATCATGAGTACTGAATATAGAAAATGGACTAAGGATATAGTTCTCAGACTACATGCTGAGGTACCCTGGGGGCAAATTCAGGGATACCACTGAATATTTTGAATCTGGAGACACAGTGACATCTGTTGGATACCATACAACTACTCTCAAGTTGTTTGAATGTAACTACTTAGTAAAATTAATTACTATTTCTTTTAGTCTAGGGATAAAGAAAAAAAATCACTAAGCTATGAAGACACTGTGAACTGAGAAAGTTCGGGCACCTCTGGGCTAAAATATAAACTGTGAACGATGGGCTCTGAAGGATTTTCCAGGGGAGATCAAATTCTAGTGCCACCATTTGCCTCTTTAGGAAAGACAGGTCAATTCCTGATATTTCTTTAAATGGAGTCTGAGATGCTCTCTCTCTCACATCTCTGGCCTCTTCCAGACATGTCTGGTTTCTAGGGGCAGGAAGCTACAGTCTGCTAGGATGGGGCAATGTGTTCTCCAGAGATACGTGGGAGGAAAGAGTAGGGCCTGCCAGAAATGGGGTACATGGCACACAGTGTAAGGCTGCTGGACTTACGAGAGAAGAGAAAAGATAAAAATCAACTAAGAACTGCACAGACCGGAATTGGCCACGACAGTAGTGAAAGGAGCGTGGGATTTGGTGAAAATGAACATGGGATTTTCAGTGGGGAAAATTTTAAAAAAAAAAAAAAAAAAAGGAAGCCCTGCCTCAGCAGCAGAGTCCTACTATAAACTGACAGTGACCTTAGGAAATCTTTCCTAACATGGCTCCCACTGTGTAGTCTTGGACACATATAAAGACAAAGACAAAAGGTAATAAAAAACCCAATTGTGCAAAGATCTAATGAACTAGTCTGATGAGAGGCCCAAGAAACACTCCCTCTCTCCCTTTGATGACCTTAGGAAGCCAAGTTAACTATCCTACCTGCCTCTAATTAAGTAGAATAATTAAGTGTACAGTACAAAATTCTTCTTCTCCAATTCCAGCTCCTAAAAGCATCTTCGCCTTGGCCTGTTTCTCTTCCTTTCCCTGTTCTTTCTTCCTCTGATTTTCTAGGTGAGGAAATTTGAGGATTTTCACTGTTGAAATGCTTGTCAGCACCAAGCTCTTCTAGAACCTAAGAGATGGTTAAGTAACCCAGGGCCCTGGACAGTGAGCAGATACAGCTTATCCACACCACGGGTAAAGTTCCACTGAGGCACTTTTTTTAAAAAATTTTTTTTCATTTATTTTTATTAGTTGGAGGCTAATTTTTAATGAACAAAAACATAACAATATGCCAGGCTAGGGAGTTAGTCTCATCTCAACTTATCAACACTGAGTAATCTGGCCTAGAATATTTTAATTTTTATTCCAAACTCTGAGCATGTGATTGCGTGACATTTCCTCAGCAGCCAGGAAGAAAATCATAAATGTATTTTTGGTTATTCCAATCTTATTTTGAAATAGTAATTAACTTTATCTCTATCTCCTAAATAAAGTCCACATATCAGAAGAAAGGGCTGGTGAGGATTTGTGTTCTCACAGTACCTTATTTTATTTGCAAACTGATTAGAGAGGGGCTTGATATAATCTGAATCTTCTCAAGACTGAAGGCAGGATGGAGTAAATTAAAAATTCCAATTCAATACAACATTGTATACACCCCATGGAGTCTCACATAATGAGATCTTATCATTATTAGAAGTACTTGCCCCTTTTAGCAAACAATGACATGCAATACATCAACAGAAAAGTTCAAACACAAAAAATAATTGGTAACCCGAGCAATAAATACACATCAGTACAACTGGCAGTACTTTCACAACAAAAGAACATACCAGCTTGATGATGCACTAGGAACTGGACAGTTTGGGGGCCAACACAGCTCAGAACTAGTCCAGATTGTCCTATCTTGACTGATGTGACTGCAGGCTTCAGCAATGACCTTCACAATAGACACAGTAACCCCAGGCCCCTGTTTCCAGGGTGGGATTTATACCACCCTCCACTTTGATGGCTTTACTAGAATTTCTGCCCCTTTAGCAGGACCAAGGATGTGAAAAAATTCATAAACCCAAGACTTTCTTCTTTGCTAACCTTCATTCTTTACAGCTCATCAAAGCTGCTTCTCACAACTCATTCAGAAGCCACCCCAAGGATCCCAGTAAAAAGAAAGGCAAGACAGAAATTTTTTTAATCCCTGTACTTTTTCTGTATTATTAGGAAATCCGGGTGGGGCTGAGGACCCAAATAATTTCGAAAGAAACTCTAGGTCTCTAAAGATAAATCCCTCTCTCTTGTGTATTTTAACCATAGACCACTTGACCCACAGCTGTTAGTACATCAAGGACCACCTGCAGTCTTTTATTCCATCCAGTAAGGTCAATGGAAAAGGTGAGTTTTCATTCCAATCCCAAAGAAAGGAAATCCCAAAGGATGCTCAAACTACCACACAATTGCACTCATCTCACACGCTAGTAAAGTAATGCTCAAAATTCTCCAAGCCAGGCTTCAGCAATACATGAACCGTGAACTTCCAGATGTTCAAGCTGGTTTTAGAAAAGGCAGAGGAACCAGAGATCAAATTGCCAACATCCGCTGGATCATCGAAAAAGCAAGAGAGTTCCAGAAAAACATCTATTTCTGCTTTATTGACTATGCCAAAGCCTTTGACTGTGTGGATCACAATAAACTGTGGAAAATTCTGAAAGAGATGGGAATACCAGACCACCTGACCTGCCTCTTGAGAAACCTGTATGCAGGTCAGGAAGCAACAGTTAGAACTGGACATGGAACAACAGACTGGTTCCAAATAGGAAAAGGAGTATGTCAAGGCTGTATATTGTCACCCTGCTTATTTAACTTATATGCAGAGTACATCATGAGAAACGCTGGGCTGGAAGAAGCACAAGCTGGAATCAAGATTGCCGGGAGAAATATCAATAACCTCAGATATGCAGATGACACCACCCTTATGGCAGAAAGTGAAGAAGAACTAAAGAGCCTCTTGATGAAAGTGAAAGAGGAGAGTGAAAAAGTTGGCTTAAAGCTCAACATTCAGAAAACTAAGATCATGGCATCTGGTCCCATCACTTCATGGGAAATAGATGGGGAAACAGTGGAAACAGTGTCAGACTTTATTTTTTTGGGCTCCAAAATCACTGCAGATGGTGATTGCAGCCATGAAATTAAAAGACGCTTACTCCTTGGAAGGAAAGTTATGACCAACCTAGACAGCATATTAAAAAGCAGAGACATTACTGTGCCAACAAAGGTTCACCTAGTCAAGGCTATGGTTTTTCCAGTGGTCATGTATGGATGTGACAGGACTGTGAAGAAAGCTGAGTCCCATAAGAGTTGATGCTTTTGAACTGTGGTGTTGGAGAAGACTCTTGAGAGTCCCTTGGACTGCAAGGAGATCCAACCAGTCCACCCAGGAGATCAGTCCTGGGTGTTCATTGGAAGGACTGATGTTGAAGCTGAAACTCCAGTACTTTGGCCACCTCATGCGAAGAGTTGACTCATTGGAAAAGACCCTGATGCTGGGAGGGATTGGTAGCAGGAGGAGAAGGGACGACAGAGGATGAGATGGCTGGATGGCATCACCGACATGATGGACATGAGTTTAAGTATACTCCGGGAGTTGGTGATGGACAGGGAGGTCTGGCATGCTGCGATTCATGGGGCTGCAGAGTCGGACACGACTGAGCAACTGAACTGAACTGAACTGAAGGTCAATGGATGTGAAGGTCACTCAAGGACAAAAGAATTAGATGATACCTTCCTAGGGACACTTATAATCTACATATCTCCCTATTCTTGAAGGTCACTGAAGGACAAAAGAATTAGATGATACCTTTCTAGGGACACTTATAATCTACATATCTCCCTATTCTTCAAGTCAAATCTTAAGTAATCTTACTCTGAGCTAGAAAAAAATAAGGCAGATCTTCCAATCATACAATTCTTACATACAAAAAAGGTGGTATTGTATAAACTTTCTGGGGAGAATTTAAAGAGGTAAAGTTCTTGGTGTGTCTATGAGAACATACTCCTACTTAGAAGCTACAGCTTGAAAGATCTGGAAGAGATTAAGATCACATTCTAGGCATTTCTCTCCAGTCAACATAGGGCAGGTGATGGGAAAGTCAGAAGGGAAACCTGTGGTACTCTACTCTTATGTATACACATGACTGGCAGTCACAGCACCACATGTTTGTAAATTCAACAGGTCTGATTATAAATTTTAGTGGATTAATATTAAAGAGGTTACAGTGGAGAAAAAGGCAGTAATGTCACAATCAATTCTAAAATTAAAACCATGCAAAATTTCTCCAAAGTCCCTATTTTTGATTATTCAAGATCTAGTCTTCAGGATTTATAAAGTTCTATACTAGCGATAAGGATTATTAAAACAATCACACTGGTATGAGAAATACTGGGTAGTAATTTTTTCTCTTAATTTACCTACATCATCTCTGGTTAAAGGAGGTTGCAGGGCTGACATTTTAAAAAATACACTATAATTTCAGGCAACGGCAAGAACCACTTAATATTCCTATGGTTAATTTCAAACTAAAAACTTTAATACCAAAGACTATATTTCATTTTTCAGCATTTAGTAGTTTAATGCTACGACCTTCTTTTTAAACAGAAGGCAATATGAAAATGGGTATTTCAGAATTATTATGTTAAAGTAAGTGTGCCAAATGGACAAATATCTGGAGCTTCTTTTGACCCCAAGGCAGCAAAATATCCTTTCCTTTATGGCACCCATATATTTCCTCCCATGAGAATACAAACCTTAAATATTTAACAAAATTACAGATTAATCACTGGTAATTTAGAAGAAAAAATATTTGACATGTGAGTGTGCACAGTTGGAACTTCAATCTACTAATCTGACAATGGAATGATGCTATCATGTTTCTGATACTGATAATTCTGAGTAAATATTTCTCCACTCTTTATTTACATGTTCAAGATAAACATTTTAATACAGCCATACCCAAAATATAAAGTATGACATCCTGGATTAACTGGGTTAAAAACTGAGCAGAGTCTGCTTTGCAGTCAGCATACATTCAACACCACAACAGTCCATATGTTTTCTGGGCTAGAACCAGGGGTCCACTGCATGTCCACGACATCTCCAAGATGGGTAGTTATTATAGGAATCTAGGAAAACTCTCTAAATGCTGTTTTCAGTTTAGACAGGGCAAAAGGAAGGTCCATATGGCTACTGCCATATGTCTTAGGAAAGAGAATTGGGCATGCTTTGGTTTACCTGTGAGGTATCCTGCTGTTTGTGACTCAGAAATAAACAAATCATGCTTCTGATCTTTGAAGGCACTCCAGACTGAAGAACGAGACAGGATTTCATTCACCTAGGGAAGTAAAGCAAACTCTTTGAATGCAAACAAACTGGATGTTGGTAGATTAGATTAAAAAGAAAAAGCAAATTTCCAAGACAATCAAAAGAGGCCAACTCAGGAAAGGTCCAAAGATGAACCAAGACCTCACATTCATCAAACACTCTATACCAGGCATATCTCATTAAACCAGACCCAAAGAAATGCCTAAATCAGTCCTCCCTCTAAACTTGGACTCGACTATTCGGACTTATTGGTTTGTATGTAATTTGGGCAGTAAGATATTCATGTGATAGTAACAACTGACTGACTGTGGTGTGGGCTCATGAAGTATTTCTGAGGAAGCGGTTTGGGGACAAGATATTGCAAAATTCAAGCTAAAACTTAAAGCACTCTCTCAAACTATGGATGTGACCTATTAGAAGTACACTGACATCTTAGGAATCAGTGAACTAAAATGGACAGGACTGGGTGAAATTAATTCATATGACCGTTATATCTACTACTGTGGGCCAGAATCCCCTAAAAGAAATCCTCAGAGTCAACAAGAGTCTGAAATGTAGTACTTGGGTGCAATTTCAACAACAGAATGATCCTGGTTTGTTTCCAAAGCAAAATATTTAACATCACAGTAATTTATGTTCCAACTGCTGATGCCAAAGAAGCTGAAGCTGAGTGGTTCTATGAAGACCTAGAATACTTCCTAGAACTACTAATAACACCAAAAAAAGATGTCCTTTTCATCATAAGGGATTGGAATGCAAAAGTAGGAAGTCAAGAGATACCTGGAATAACAGGGAAATTTGGCCTTGGGGTACAAAATGAAGTAGGACAAAGGCTAACAGTTTTGTCAAGAGAACATGCTGGTCACAACAAACATGCTTTTCCAATAACTCAAGAGATGACTCTACACATGGACATCACTAGATGGTCAATACCAAAATCAGAATGATTATGTTCTTTGCAACCAAGGATGGAGATGCTCTATACAGTCAGCCAAAACAAGACCTAGAACTGACTGTGCTTCAAAGTATCAGCTCCTTATTGCAAAATTCAGGCTGAAATTGAGGGAAACCACTAAGCTATTCAGGGTGCCTGAAGAACTATGACTGGAAGTTTATAACATTGTACAGGAGGCAGTGACCAAAACCATCCCAAAGAAAAAGAAATCCAAGAAGGCAAAATGGTTGTTGGATGAAGTTTCATAGGGATGGAAAAGGTCAGTTTTTATTCCAATCCCAAAGAAGGGCAAAGCCAAAGAATAGTCAAACTACTGGACAACTGTGCTCATTTCACATGCTAGCAAGGTAATGCTCAAAATCCTTCAAGCTAGGATTCAGCAGTATGTGAACCAAGAATTTCCAGATGAACAAGCTGGGTTTAGAAAAGACAAAGGTATCAGAGGTCAATTTGCCAACATCCATTGGATCATAGAAAAAGCAAGAGAATTTAAAAAAAAAATGACTTCTGCTTCATTGACTACATGAAAGTCTTTTGACTATGTAGATCAAACTGTATAGATCAAACAAACTGGAAAATTCTTAAGAGATGGGAGTACCAGATCACTGTTCCTGTCTCCTGAGAAACCTGTATACGGGTCAAGAAGCAACAGTTAGAACCAGACATGGAACAACTGACTGGTTCCAAATTGGGAAAGGAGTATGTCAAGTCTGTATATTGTCACCTGGCTTATTTAACTTAGATGCAAAGTATATCATGTGAAATGCCAGGCTGGATGAATCACAAGCTGGAATCAAGACTGTTGGGAGAAATATCAATAACCTCAGATATGCAGATGATACCACTCTAATGGCAGAAAACAAACAGGAACTAAAGAGCCTCTCAATGAGAGTGAAAAGGCTGGCTTGAAACTAACCACCAAGAAAACAAAGATTATGGCATCCAGTCCTATCACTTCATGGCAAACAGAAGGGGAAAAAGTGGAAGCAGTGACAGATTTAGGCTCTAAAATCACTGCAGATGGTGATTACAGATATGAAATTAAAAGATGCTTACTCCCTGAAAGAAAAACTATGACAAACCTAGACAGCATATTAAGAAGCAGTGACATTACTTTGCCAACAAAGGTCCATCTAGTCAAAGCTATGGTTTTTCCAGTAGTTACACATGGATGTGAGAGATGGATCATGAAGAAGGCAGAGCACTAAAGAATTGATGCTTTTGAACTGTGGTGCTGGAGAGGATTCTAGAGAGTTGCTTGGACACAGGGAGATCAAACCAGTCAATCTTAAAGGAAAGCCACCTTGAATATTCATTAGAAGGACTGATGCTGAAGCTGAAGCTCCAATACTTTCGCCACCTGATGTGAAGAGCCGACTCACTGGAAAAGACTGATGCTGGGAGAGACTGAGGGCAGGAGGAGAAGGGGTGGGGGGGGACAAAGGATGAGATGGTTGGATGGCATCACTGACTCAATGGACATGAGTTTGAGGAAATGCCAGGAAATAGTGCAGGACAGAGAAACATGGTGCACTGAAGTCCATTCAGCTGCAGAGAGCTGGACACAACTTAGTGACTGAACAACAATGAACTATCTAGAAAGTATATCACATATAAAATGCGCAGTATAAATGACTGATGTGTAAATGCGTACTAAGAGGCAAGACATGCTTCTTTCTGGGAAAAGGTTTAAAAAAAAAAATCCAGGAAATTCCGACATAGAGGGTATCTTTCACATGTCAAGGTTCAGATCAAATATTTATGGAGCACACAAAACATGGGTTCCATGGTGGACACAAAGATGAGAGACATTCTCTGCCCCTGAAGTGCCCACAGTCCAGGCAAGGAGACAGATGACGCCAGATAACATTAAGGGGAAGCATTAAAGTAGATGTACACATGGGGACCATGAGAGTCCAAAAGACTGTCCCAACCATGGAGCGAAGCAGTGGTGAAAGTGATTTGTTGTGAGTGTGCTCAAGTTCCTACTTCGGAAACTACTGTAATTCTTTCCTTCCCTTGTGAGTGGAAGGTGGTTATCAAGAGTTGCTCCGTTAATTCTCATTAACAGGAATCCAGTGGCAAGTTGAGGAGAGCATGACTGGGGGCATGTGGTATACAGGAATGCCTTTGCTTGGCATTCAGAACACCCACAGGCAAGTTTAATAAACAGATAGTTAATGACTATAATAGCACATGCCATCTCTCTCCTTTATTTTCACCCCAAACAGCTCAAATGATAAGCCTGCTAGAAGGGAAAATGGCATAAAAAATGCTTCTTTAGCTGGAATATACAAACACAGTGGATTCACTAAAGGAAAGCTTTAAGTCAGTTTAAACCTACAGAAGAACAATAGTAAACAGAAATAGTCCAAATACCTATGAATGGATAAATGGGTAAACATGGCATATGCATACAATGGAACATTATTCAGCCTTAAAAAGGAATTAAGTGTTGAAACACACTGTAACACAGTTGAACCCTGAAAACATGCTAAGAGACAGAAGCCAGACACAGGTCACATACTGTATGATTCCACTTATGTGAAATGTCCAGGATTCCTAGAAAATAAGAGTGGTGACTGCCAGAAGCTGAGGGAAAGAAGAAATGGGAAATAACTACTTAATAACTATTTTTGGGAACTAGGTAGGTGGTGGTTATACAACATTTTTTTTTTTTAAATTTATTTTTGGCTGTGCTCATATGCACTGCTGCACGTGGCCTTTCTCTAGTTGTGGAGAACGCGGCTACTCTCTAGTTGTGGTGTGCAGGCTTCTCACTGCAGTGGCTTCTCTTGTGTTCAGGTTTCACCTTGTGCTCTAGGGTGCGGGGTTCTCAGTAGTTGTGGTGAACGGCCTTAGTTGTCCCGAGCCATGTGGGACTCTCCACATGTGGGATCAGGGATCAAAGCTGCAACCCCTGCATTGGCAGGTGGATTTTTAACCATTGGACCACCAGGAAAGCCACACAACATTGTTAATGTACTAAGTATCAGTGAATTTTTCAGTTTAAAAGGGCTAATTTTACATTATGTGAATTTCACTTCAATTGAAAAAAAAAAAAAAGAGCATTCCTAAATGGACTATATAACAATACTGAATGAGGAACGCCTCAGAAGCAATTTAAGAATAAAACCAATGAGGAAAAGAAAATTACTGAATTGGTTTGAACTGGGCGTGCACATGCAGCTGAAGCAATTGTACAGTGGAGTGCTACTCTCTCAGTCATGTCTGACTCTTTGCCATGTCATGGACTGTAGTCCCCCAGGCTCATAAGTTCATGGAATTATCCAGGCAAGAATACTGGAGTGGGTAGCCATCCCCTTCTCCAGGGGATCTTCCTGACCCAGGGACTGACACTGGGTCTCCTGAACTGCAGGTGGATTCTTCACTGTCTGAGCTACCAGGGAAGCCCAGCTGATGCACATTAATAGGTACCTAAGTTACAACAAGAGAGACTTTGTTGGGCTAATAGCCAACACTTTGTAAGTGCTAATGAAGGAGATGAAACTAAAATGATATTTTGTATCTTTTTAAAGGTATTACGGTAGAGTCAGTGAATGATTATCACTATACCACAATAACTTCTAGAATTGAAAGTAATCTTAACCAGCACTAAATGTTCAACATTCTTCTATGCTTAAGAATGTGCAACATGTTATCACTATCCAGAGAAAGAATCCTCCTGGTGACTATTTGCTGTTGTTTAGTTGCTAAGTTGTGTCAGATTCTTTTGTAACCCCATGGACTGCAGCCTGCCAGGATCCTCTGTCCATGGGATTTCCCAGATAACAATATAGAAGTGGGGTGCCATTTCGTTTTCCAGGGGATCTTCCTGACCCAGGGATCAAACCCACATCTCCTGCACTGGCAGGATTCTTTACCACTGAGCTACCAGGGAAGCCCCATTTGAGTATATGGTTTGTGTTTATGAGGCAATGCTAGTCCATTTGTGATCTTGGGATCTGCTTCAGTTATGGTCAACAAGCATACCTTTAAGTAGAACCTGAGCTGAGGTGCATGGATCACCAACGGTCAAGACCCCTGGTTTTGAAAATGCCTTGTCATAATTAGCAAATCTAAGTTACCTCTGTGCAGACTCACCTGTTCTCCATGCTGCAGGCTTCGAGTCATTGCCTTGAGAGCTTTAACAATCTGAGCCTTTGTGGCTGCTGGGCTGTCCAGATTTTCAAGGCCAATGCCTTCAAGCAATTTTAAAAGGTATGGGACCAAATCTACCTTCAGGGCCTAGAAGAAAAGATTAAGTATATATGTGTGTGTATGTATGTGTGCATATACACATATATATGCTTTAAAAAAAATGTAAGCCATTCACTGAGGAAATAATTTCACTCCCAGGACCCTACCTGGAAGAGGACACTCCACTTTATTTTAATTCCAGAGACAGAATTTGGGGGTAGGGGTGGGTATCTAATGATAGTGACATTTTTATTTAATGAGATCTCATTCTATTCCATCAACTATTCTAAATGTTATATGCTGATTATTTTACTTAATCCTCCCCAAATCAAATGATGTAGGCACAATTATTATCTATGGAAAAATCAACACATGAAGGCCTTGACAGTCACAGAGCTAGGTGACAATGGACTCTGTATCTAGACCTATAAAGAAAAGAACCTGAGCTTATAGCCAGTATACTGGTCTGCCTCTTCTAATGACATATACTGATGTGAAACAATATTTGGAGAGTATTAATTTTCTTTACATTCTCTTAAAACATCAACCTTTGCATTCACCATACATTTTCTATTGGCCTAATAAAAGCTAAGGAATACTCTGGTACCACACAATTTTCAATGCCCACTCTAAAATTCAAAAAGAAGAGGTGAAAAAGCAACTAACATTTAATAAGTGTTCCTTTTTTATAGATATTATTCTCAGAACAACCTTGTGAGAAGCCATAGCTTTATTTTACAGATGAGGAATATGAGTACTGTTAATGATAAGTAACATGCCTGAGGTCACAGAGCCATCAAGTGGCAGAACTAGCTCATGTTCTTTCTATTACAACAATCCGCTTAGTCAGTTATAAGTCTGAATCTCAGAGCATCCAATTATCTCCTTGAATTGTACCCAGTACTTCTAACTTGCATGAATGAGAAACAGGGGTGGGAGTAGGGGTGGGTGGAGAGAGATGATCTGAGAGGAAAAAGGGCTGGAAAACAGGAGAGCCAGATAATAAGGATGTAGGGCCTTGTTTTCAGGTTAAGGATGTCAGATGTCACTTTGTCATCTGGCAGATAATGGGAAACCACTGAAGAATTTTTAAGTGCAGAATGACATATATTTTATGTTAGATTTTAGAAGGATCACTTTTTCCATGATTTTTAAATTGTATGTTTTTTGTTCCCTTGATGTTTGCTACTACTTTACATCGGTATCCACCAAGTCTTCTTTTCATTAGTCTTCTATTTTCTTTGAAAAGGACTATAAAAACCTTGGCGTGCTTTTCAAACGTGACTTAAGAAACAAAGGAATGAATAAATAAGAATGAATCTTTCAAAAAGGATAAACCAAATTTTACAAAGCTAGTTAAGCATAAATGCTTAGTAAACAATCAAAACTTAAAATTCAAACATAACAAAAATACTTTGACAGTGGTAAGATTTTTGGTAGCTGACCCACCTTTTCTGTGTGTATATATACATGTTTCGTCTGGTATGTGTATGTATCAAATATAAAATTGTACATGCACCAGCTCACAAGTTACCTCTCTGCCAAGTCAGGGAAGCCAAAATCAGTGCTAAATAAGTGAAAATCCATTTGGTATGTTGCCTTCCCTAAAATAGGAATCTAGAAAGTTACTTACCTGTGCTACTAATTCACTCTGCTCCTTCTGAAACATTCTATTAATTGCTTCACAGGCTAGACCAATGGTATCCGGTCGTTTTTTCATTCCATTTATCAGTGGGCCAATGGTCTCCAAAGACGCCATGGTTCGAACACAGAGCTAAGTACCCGGAAAGAGAAGGTTACTTGTAGAAAGCAATAATTTATGTAACACAGTAAATACCACAATAATATATGAAAAACCTACATTCAGTTCATTTTGTTTGGCCATGCTATGAGGCATGTGGCATCTTAGTGTCCCAACCAGGGATCAAACCCACACATCCTGCAGTAGAAGCGTGGAGCTTTTACCACTGGACTACCAGGGAAGTCCCATCAGTTTAAGTTTAATAATGAGAGTCAAATTCAGTCTCCTATTAATCATATCATTTAAACCAGTTTAAGAACCGTTACAGTATCATGCAGTTCATATGGATGAAGGTACGTGGCAGGAAAGGGATTTATTCTGCAATGTACATTAGTCAGGAAGAGGGAGCACAGATAAATTCTACAGCTATAAGCTACTAAATGGATTAATCATCAATACCTCGTTTTCAGACAGGGCGTGAATAACTCGAATGGCACTCTTAGGAATGGCGTTGTTCCTATGATTCATCGCCTGGATAATTTTGGGAAGATGGCCCAATGGTGGAACCTGATCAGCCAGCTGAGGCTGTGCACTGAAGAGACATACTGTTGCCATTGTCAAAGTTTCCAGAGTCTCTCCCTGGAGGGTATAAAACAAATGAACAAGCAAACTGTGACCTTTCCATGAGGCAACTGAGGCAGAGTCAGGAGGTATTACTCCAGGCCACAGAGCTTATCAGTGATGGACCTGGCATCCAGGACCATTTAACAACACAGGCTCTCAGCCACCTTGACAACCAGCTTTTTTAATTAATTCAACAACAATCACATACCTCAATTATTTTCAATATATAGATTCAAATAACAAAACTTTCTATTTCGGGGTTTATGACTGGCCAAACCAAGACCAAATCTACTTTCTTACTCACTCTAGCTTTCCTGCTAGCCTTTGAGCATAGGTACAGGGTTCAATCATTTATCAATAGTTAAGATTCTCCTATCAATTTCTTTAGCTGAGTGAAGAATATGCCCTAGCAGGACATACTTCCATTTAGATTTCTACACTAAGCCTCTAGGGTTCTCCTTAAAAACCATATAATCACTGGAAATGGGATGGCAGAAACCTTTCAGAACCTCTGCAATTGTTCTTCAGACTAAAAAGTTTCACTTTTGATCAAGCATATACTAATTTTAGCGTGGGGGCTACATTGAAGGAGGTAGCCAACTCCTAACGCGTGGTCAATGAGAATGGTGTTTTAACAGAAATACTATCAACATATTCAGCAAAGTGTGTGAGGAGTCTGGCTGACGACTAACGCTTACGTGAGGACTGCTCTTCTCCAGAAGCTCGGTTAGCTTTTCCAGCAGTGCGGTAAGAAATTCTCTAGGCTTTCTTAGAACCCAAGCTGGCTGTGCAATAAAGATCCTCAGGAAAACTCCTCCAACAGCAAGTTCACCTTCTGCTTCTCCAAAGACCACAGCAAAATCTTCAGGCAACTTTAAATAGAGAAAGAATAGTCAAGTCATTTACTACATTAGTTGTATTGGGCTGGGCAAGAAAGTCTGGGCTCCAAACAAACTTTTTTGCCCAGCCCAATACATTAACAAGAAAGAAATAAAAAACCCTATTAAAGAAATCTTCATGCAATGAACTAGGCTTTAAATAGTCATTAATACAATCAAGTCAAAATTATTTGTTTTATTTTCCACTTAATAAATTTCTATAAAAGTTTCTTTGATTAAGTTACTCTTTTCAGAAAAAGTCCTTTGATTAAGTTACTCCAAAAGTGAATACTTCTACTTTTTTTTTTAATGTTTAAAACCTTGTTTTCCAGGGGAAGATTTAAGTGTCTTAGTAACAAAGTAAAGGATGGCTTTATACTCACTCAGCAGGAACTTAAAACAATAAATTTACAGTAAAATGTAAAATTCCTTCCTCTGAATAAAAGTATACTTTACCTTCCAGTTTACGTCAGGGTTGTCTTGCTGATTTTTAAAGTGCCTTGGGAAAAAAAAGAAGGAAAGGGCGTCAGACTTTAGTCACAAGATACACATTCATTACCCTTTATAGAATAATTTCTTGGAGAGGTGACTGACAATGTGGAAAATGTGTGCCTGCCTAGTGACTCCACCTGAAGGCCCTAAGTTGTTAATGTGTATCTTTACTTACTCGAGCATCATTTCTCTAACCGTCGTGGACACTTTATCTCTGGAACTATCATTCCAAATTAACTCAGGATTTTCATGAGTTCCTTCAAAAATATGGACAGCAGCTTCAGGGTTGTCTCTCATGGCATCCATAAAAACGCTTGGGAGAAATTTCATCAATGTAATTCGAACCTGGACGAGGAAATTTGAGAAAGAAAAAAGACCTATTGAAAACATCTCAATATTTGGTTTGCTTTACATTTCTCTAAGAATGATGCTATTATGTGTGTTAAGGTTGATATGAGCCATAACTATCATCCAAAAGTCCTGAATGAGAAAACAGATAAACCTTAGTTTATGGTGGCTCAGTAGTAAAGAATTCACCTGCCAATGCAGGAGATGTAGAAGACTCAGGTTCGATCTCTGGGTTGGGGAGATCCAGCTCCCCAGAGGAGGGGATGGCAACCCACTCCAGTATTCTTGCCTGGAAAATCCCCTGGACAAAGGAGCCTGGAGGGCTATAGTTTGTGGGACAGCAAAGAGTCAGACACAACTGAGTATGCACACACATGCAAAGCTAACAAGACTCACTACTTACCTATCTGGGTTAATTTCCTCTCTCCACCTCAAATTTAAGTAACATTAAGAAATCCAGCACCACTGGTGTGTGAAGTTCCCAAAGCATGCCAACCTACCAGATCCTGCCCTTCACATGCTGTCCCCTCTTTCCAGAAAGCCCTCAGCTGATCTGTCTCTCCACCTCTCCCCAAAACTCCCCACACCCTCACAAATTCTTCTCATGCTTTGTGTTATACAAGTAACTTTTAGTACCATGTTTTACATTTTACTGTGCATTTTCCCAAAAAGGATTTAAAAAGCAACTTAAAAAAATAACACACACATACAAACTGAAAATTAGTGTGAGACATAAGGACAAAGGGAAAATGAAGGCTGGGAAGACAAGTTTTTCCCTCAGGTCTTCACATAGTTTCATCTCCTTTGTGTCATTCAAGTCTATGCTAAATCCCATCTTTTAGAAATCTTTCCTGGCCCAGTCTTGTCAGTGCCTGTATTTTCATTCCCTGGCACAAGCCGATACTCAAGAACTTTTTTGAATGAATGACAATAACAGGAATTAGTACATAAAGAAAATATCAAAAGCTCTGTATAATTGCAAGCAATACATAATAAATTTAGCCCTGAACTTCCTGGCAGTCAGTGAACTAAAGGAAACAATGTCAGTTACATGATAGAGAGCATCCACAAAATAGGATATATGTCATTTCCCTTGGTCAAATTGATCTAAGATGTAAATACAAGAGCTAAAACTATAAAACACCTAGGAAAAAACATAGGCATATATTTTTATAACTCTGGATTAGATAATGGCTTTTTATATAGTAAAAGCACAAGCTATAACAACAAAGACAGACTGGACTTCATCAAAATGAAAAAAAAAAAAAAACAAGAAGAAAGTGGAAAAACATACACAAAAGGGAGAAAATATTTATAAATCATATATCTGATAAGGGACTGGTATCCAAAATACATAAAGAACAATTACAACTCAATAGTAAAAAGACAACTCAGTTAAAAAATGAGCAAAGGATGAGAATAGACATTTCTCTAAAAAAGAAGTACAAAGGCCAACAAGCACATGAAAAGATATTCAACATCATTAGGCACAAGGGAAATGCAAGGCAAACCCTGATACAGCACACTTCACACCCTCCAGGATGACCACACTCAGTGAAGATCTATACAGTAAGTGTTAAAGAAGAGGTGGATATCACCATCAGTACTGGTACATAAAATGGTTCAGCCACTGTGGAAAAGTCTGATAATTCCTTAAAAGGGTAAAAATAGTGTTACCATATTACCCAGAAATTCTACTCTCAGAGAAATAAAATACATATCCACACAAAAACTTGTACACATGTGTTCACAGCAGCATCATACAGAATAGCCAAAAACTAGAAATAATCCATATGTCCATTTTCAATAGATAAATGGAAAAACAAAATGTGGTATAAGTATAGGGAAGTGACTGCTAAATTAGGAAATGGGGTTTTTTTTCCTGGTTTGATGAAAATGTTCTAAAACTGACTGTTATTGCCCAAAACACTGAATTGTATACATCATGTGTGTGAATTGTATGGCATGTCAATTATATCTGAATAAAGTTATAAAAATGGAAAAGAAGTTTACTGACCCCAGTTCTAGAATCTCTTGCTGCAAATTATTCAATTAAGGAGCTGACATATATTTTTTCCTATATAGAAAATTTAAGTACAAATATATTCACTTTGGTAAAATTTGTCCCTCATGTATTTCAACAGTTAAAAAATTACTAAAGAGCTCAAAAATTAATTATAGTATATATTTTAAACATCTAAAATATTATTTAAAATGTAACAGTAGACATTATAGTTATGTGCTACCCAGCTCTAGCATTAAGAAAACTCAGTATTAAATATCAATATTCATAATTTTATGGGCCCTTGCTACAGGCACCCAAATGTAATGTTCCTTATCCATTAACCCTACTGATGACAGATTATTAGCCATATTCCCAAAGTAAAACTATTCCAGGTCTTGTGACATATTCTCAATATCTAAATCAGGAGATCAGATAAGAAAAAACACAACTGAATCTAGCTTGTTTTCTGTAAGGGGGTGCTCAGGATCCTGTATTTCATATTTGGGGTGGCATAGACAGTGTTTCAGTGAGCATTACTTCATGTGAAACTGATTCAATAACAGAAGAAGGAAACTTTTGATTACAACTGTGTCTGGATGCAATTTTACTTAGAAGTATTATTCTAGTAGGTTTCTGCTCTATGAACTGAACCATGGTTCCAGAGATCATTTTGTCTTCTCCAGATTCTTAATGAGAGATCTCCCTGCAGAGAGGAGAAGCAAAGGCACTGTAATACTCACCTTCACAAGCCAATCCTTGAAGTGTGAAATGTAACCTAACCTAATCTACCTTCTGTCACAACTTAAAATATACTTTTAAAATATGTTTTGGCTCCTTCAACGGAGATGAACAGTTTCATCCCATAATTCAAACACTCTCTTAAGACTTCTCAAAAAAAAAAAAAAGACTTCTCAATTCTAGCGCAGGCTTCCCTGATTATAATTTTTCTCTATCTAGTAATATATAGGAATAATTCAGGTTTGTCCATCTTTCAACTTTCATATCAAGTCATTTCTTTACTATTTCACACTTTGGTAATCCTCATGAAATTAGTTACCAAAGTAATAGAGCTTTAATAATTAATTTCTTTCTAAGAACCCATTTTGTGCTCACCTTTGGACCTATTAGTTTATCTGCTGTCATTTTAGCAAAAAGTTCTGCTGTCTGGGCTCGAACCTGTGGATGTGTTGAATTGCAGAACATGTCTAGTAAATAAATCAAAGCTCCTGTGAAGGGAAAAAAAGCATTAGTGTTTATAGGCTAAATAAAAAAATATGACTTTTCTAGTCAGTAGAATTTACTTTCAACCTCATTTAAACTCAATGCAGGTTTTTTGTTTTTTTTTTAAACTGTAAGCCTTCCAAAGCATTCTTCTAGTTTATCAGACTATATAAAGTAGCTCAAAATAAGCTTTACCATTATGGAGCATGACTAGATGAGAAAGCACTCTATACACTACCTCTTGCCATTGCTTCTTTGATAATTTTTGTACTTGATGTCAAAGCATAAAGAGTCTCCAGAACAAGCTGACGACCTGAAGAACAAAAGACATTAAAAGAATCAAATCATCACATTACCTTACATTTACTAGGCATCAGTGCCAGGCACTGAACAGGATGCTTTACAAAGGGCATCATACTTTCTACTTCACAACAACCAGCTAGACAGGTTTTGTGGTCTTGCTATGAGTGAGGAATCTGAGATCCAGTTTGAGTAGCCCATGAATTCACAATTAGTGAGTGGTATAACTCACTATACCACTGAGGTATATAGAGGTTTACACAGGTCTGACTCCAAAATCCACACCCATAACCACTATGCCATACTGTTCTCCTACCTCATTGCTCATTGTGCAAACAAAATACTATATTCAGGGTGCTAGTATCTTAGAGAAATGAGTAGGAAGTAGCAGTTGCAAGACACTGTTCCAGTCTAAAACACAGCAGCATCCTTCTGCACAAAGTCTGTGCACTTTTCACCCCTTCCTTGTCATTGAAGTAGACTGGGAAACTGGACTTTACTCTTCCAATGTCAAGGGGCAACGAGAGACAGGTGACCAGAGAAGTGAAGAGTTGGCAAAGAGGGTGAAGGCTGCCAGGTATTAGACCGAAACGAAAACAAAGGCTGGCAGCCAGACTGAGCTAAGTTAACAAGCAGGAGAATAAACACTCAAAATGAGACTTCTTTTAAGAGAGGAAACTATTTCACTGAAAACCAGTCACTGTTCTAACCATAAGTTCAAAGGAAAAGACTTTGGAGGGGACAGAAGAAGTCAATTATTTTGTTTTTAACATTTCTGAGCAAACAGTGAAAAATACTCTAGTCTAAAATATAAATGAGAACAGAGTAGGCTGAGATATCTAAATATCAGCTATTTTACCAGTAATATTAAAACCATGACTGCACTACATAAATTCAGTATGAATATAAAGTAACTTTTAAACCATGACTTCTGTAACATTCAATCAGTTTAATTTTGCATTGTTTGTAGCTGTTAAAAAGTAATAAAAAAGAAAAACCAACTAAGGCTGTAGGAATGACAAAAAAAATAATCTAATAACTTTTAAATGCTGTCATTTAAAAGATAACAAAAATATTCAATAATAATTGACTGAACATAATACATAACATGTGCAAGGCACTGAATCAGAAAATGAGTGAGACTGGTTGCTGCTCTCAAGGAGGTGGACAGGTGTGAAGTCAAGATTAATGTGACTTCTGAAAGGCTGGCAAAGCTGACTGAGCAATGCATGTTGATGGGTAAGTGACAAAGTTGGAGTTATATCACAACTGTCTTTGAAAAGCAATCTCAAGGTTGATCTAACACAACTACACACATATGTGAGACATAACTACAGTGTGTAAGGAGTCTATATTACTGCAGGCTGTACTCAAGAAATCAGGTTGCTACATTTTTAAAAACTGATCTCATCTGGTGCTAACAGTTACTATTAGCATCAAATCAGTAAAGGATAAATAATGCAGGACTGAACTTAAAGTAAAACATAAGGTGATTTTTATATTAAGCATTTTTTTCTATCACACAAGTTCAATTGTGTGTTTTTTTAAATAAAACACGGAGGAGTATCAGTTAATTCTCAATCATTCATATGTAGCTTATACTCAGTAAATTGAGAAAAATAGACTATTTTCATTTGCTCTTGGATCTCTATCATCTCTTCCAACTTCGGATATGGAAATACAAAATAGTTAACTTATATAAAAATAAAATAGGAAGACAAATCTAATATAAAGAATACCACTTAAAATATTACAAAACACTATGTTGGAGGTTTTGCATCATCTATGTAACTGTTCCCCCCTCTATGCTGACTGTGATGTGGTTCTGAAAATTCCAGCGAATATACATACTTGATGGCAAAGAATGCAGAAGAGCCAATAAATTGGATAAAACCATTGATTCAGCAATATTGTTGACACAATCTTGATTAGATGTCACTATATTCACAACCTGAAAAATCAATCAATAGGACATTAAGAGTTCTGGAAATAATGTCAAACCTAAACAAATTAAGGAAAATTAGTCAGACCTAAATAAACTTAAGGTTTATTACCAAAATGAGAAAAATGCTTCGAGGACAAATATTTAACTTTTAGGTAATTCTGGTGCACTGGGAAGAGCCAAAGGGATCGGGTCGAGAGGGAGGTGGGAGGGGGGATCGGGATGGGGAATACATGTAAATCCATGGCTAATTCATGTCAATGTATGACAAAACCCACTACAATACTGTAAAGTAATTAGCCTCCAACTAATAAAAATAAATGAAAAAAAAATTGGTTTTATTACTTTGCTCTTTTGAGAATAAAAAATGTTAATGCTAGTGTGTGAGATATATATTAGTTTTCTATTAACTTAAAGGTAACAATTAAATGTAACAATCTAAACAAATATTTTAGCACCAATTCCCAATCCTTAGGCTCATAAGAAGCCTTCAATCCTACACCAGTTCATGCTCCAGAATGATGATGTACGCTATAGTGTTTTCCAATTGGAGATTTGGGGTGGGAAATGATTAGCAAGATAATCATCTTCACTACTTGGACTTTTTCTTTCAGAGGGAGAAAGTAAATGTTTCCGGGGCCCAGTACAATCTATTAGGTCTATCTTTCTATGATAAAGAAATAGGCATGTTTTTCTTCAAAAGAAGATGACCGCTCAAGTCTAACTTATACATCTAAACTTATACATCTAAAGATTAATGCCACAACTTGAATCATGTGGTCAGCATCTCAAAGAAAAATATCACAGACACAATAATGCTTATTTTAAAAATTACAAGGTGCTTGAAGGAATTAAGTGGAGAAGCATGCTTTTCAATGAAAAGACCATGCTTGTTAAGCTGTTGACCAATTTAACCTTTATTATTTTATTAAACATTTTTTTAAAACCAAAATGCAATATAAGAACACTTAATCATTCATCAAGTTCATTGTTACTGCAAGGTTGAATTTGGTGTTCTTTATAATAAATCGTGTGTGTTACAATAAGCAGGATCACATGAAAAAAGATCCTGGGTGTTCACTCTGGGTTGCCTAAACAAGGAGAACCCTGTGACCAAGGTCTTCCTGCTTCTTCCAGAGGAAAAGGCTCCACACAAACAACTTCCGACAGAACCAATGATTTCATTCTCCCAAAGGAGGGGCCTCCAACCACTCTTGGCCCTCTAAGACCCACAGGTTCTGGGTAGCTGGAAAGGATGCTTTTGTACCAGACCCATAAGAAAGGAGAGCAACTGGGGGAGATGGAACACAAACTCACAGTGTGTAGCTAGCAGACTCCCTTGGTCTCAACATGTCTCTCTGTGGAAACACGGAGAGATCTTGGAAAGTTCTGCTCCCTTTTTTTGTCATCTGTGGCTTCCAAGCTACCCAAGTAAAGTCCATTCCTTAACTCATCCCATATGACACTATACAGATGCATCCCAAGTTCTAATGCATGACAGATGATGACCACAGAGGGAAGCACCCTGAACACTGTACAATATTTGCTCTTCAAATGGGCATATTAATTCAAGTTTTAAAGACATTCACTTGCCTTAATAGGCAAAATAAAAAAAAAAAAACTATATACAAATTTCTATTCAACTTTAGATGATGATTAACCAAGGCTCAAACCATGTACAGTATGTTGCAGGAAAGACAGCATGCTTTAGAACAAAATTCCTTTACCTCTAAAGCCAGCTGCTGTACTTGACCAGCTCCATGGACTCGAAGAAGAGAAAATATTAACTTAAAATGACCAATGCATTCACTTTCAGAGCCTAGAAAGAAAAAGAAAATGCTTATCTTTTATTTCCAAGAGATGTTCTATCGATCTTCGGGAAATGGATATATTTTGTTTACTGTCAAGTCTGTGGTAAACTTTTCTCAACAACTGTGACATGAAGCGAGTGCATATTACTAAGGAGTAGTAAATCTTAAGAAGTTAAACGGTATTAAAGTTTCTCAGGTTTGTTTTGTCTTCATTTCCATCCCAACCCCTAACTAACCGACAGGCTAAAACAAGAAATTTATCAAATACAATTCAAAAATTAAAAGTGTATGATGGTACTTTTACTTTTTACCTCTAGACCTCAGAGCTGACCCTGTCAGTCTAATTATATCTGGAGACAGTGTGACATCATTTGGCTTTTAAGTAAGACTGAGTTAGAACTCTGTCACTTGAGAACTACATTACAAACAAGTTCCAAATCAATTCCCAGGTTTGCAGCAATTTCTTTGTACCTAATATGCCAAAATAAAAACATGAAGTTTTCTTCAGATTTTATAATACTACCTTTAAAAACATCTCCATGTATTCCATGGGAATGATATTTTCTTAAACAACGTTTAATTATTGCTGGTTATTTTATTTGAATAATTTGTTGGCAATACAGATATAAATTATAATAGTACTGTAATACATACTGAAAAGGGCAAAGAAGAACAAGAAAGACAATATTAAGTGTTAATAAAAAGTTTTGACGTCTTCAGGTAAGAAACTGAATATTGAATGTATTTTTATATCCAGATTTATATTTTATATTCTGTAGTTTATAAATGTTTCATATTTTATATTCAAGTTTTGTGTTTGGTATGACATCAATATATTCTATCAATTCAGTTCAATTGCTCAGTCCACCTCTTTGCGACCCCATGGACTGCAGCACATCAGGCCTCCTTGTCCATCACCAATTCCCGGAGTCTCCTCAAACTCATGTCCACTGAGTCAGTGATGCCATCCAACCATCTCATCCTCTGTCGTCCCCTTTTCCTCCTAACTTCAATCTTTCCCAGCATCAGGGTCTTTTCTAATGAGTCAGTTCTTCATATCACGTGGCCAAAATAGTAGAGCTTGTTTCAGCATCAGTGCTTTCAATGAATATACAATATTGATCTCCTTTAGGATTGACTGGTTTGATCTCCTTGCAGTTCAAGGGATTGTTAAGAATTTCTCCAACACCACAGTTCAAAAACATCAATTCTCTGGCGACCAGCTTTCTTTCGGTCTAACTCTCATACCAATACATGACTACTAGAAAAACCATAGCCTTGACTAGATGGACCTTAGTTGGCAAAGAAATGTCTCTGCTTTTTTAATATGCTGTCTAGGCTGGTCATAGCTTTTCTTCCAAGCAGCATCTTTTAATTTCATGGCTGCATCTGCAGTGATTTTGGAGCCCAAGAAAATAGTCTGTCACTAATTTCCATTGTTTCCCCACCTATTTGCCATGAAGTGATGGAACTGCAAGCCATGATCTTTGTTTTTTGAATGTTTAACCAGTTTTTTCACTCTCCTCTTCAAGCCTGCTCTTTCATCAAGAGGCTCTTTAGCTCATTTTTGCTTTCTGCCATAATGGTGGTGTCACCACATCTGAGGTTATTGATATTTCTCCCTGCAATCTTGATTCCAGTTTCTGCTTTATCCAGCCTGGCATTTCATATGATGTACTCTGATGTTAAATAAGCAGGGTGACAATATACAGCCTTGACGTACTCCTTTCCCAATTTGGAACCAGTCTATTGTTTCATGTCCAGTTCTGTTGCTTCTTGACTTGAACACAGGTTCCTCAGGAGGCAGGTAAGAAGGTATGGTATTCCAATCTCTTTAAGAATTTTCCAGTTTGTTGAGATCCAGAGTCAAAGGCTTTGGCATAGTCAATAAAGCAGAAGTAGATGTTTTTCTGGAATTCTCTTGCTTTTTCTATGATCCAAGGATGTTGGCAATCTGATTTCTGGTTCCTCTGCCTTTTCTAGAACCAGCTTGAACATCTGGAAATCCTTGGTTCATGTACTGTCAAGCCTTGCTTGGAGAATTATGAGCATAACTTTGCTAGCTTGTGAGATGAGAGCAACTGTGTGGTAGTTTGAGCATTCTCTGGCATTGCCTTTCTTTGATACTAGAATGAAAACTGACCTTCTCCAGTTCTGTGGCCACTGCTGAGTTTTCCAAATTTGCTGACATACTGAGTGAATACAGCACTTTAACAGTATCATCATTTAGGATTTGAAATAGCTGAAATTCCATCACCTCCACTAGCTTTGTAGTGATGTTTCCTAATGCCCACTTGACTTTGCACTCCAGGATGTCTGGCTCTAGGTGAGTGATCACACCATCATGGTTATCTGGGTCATTAAGATCCTTTTTTATATAGTTCTTCTGTGTATTCTTGCCATCTCTTCTTAGTATCTTCTGCTTCTGTTAGGTACATACAGCTTCTGTCCTTACTGTGCCATCTTTGCATGAAATGTTCGCTTGGTATCTTTAATTTTCTTGAAGAGATCTCTAGTCTTTCCCATTCTATTGTTTTCCTCTATTTCTTTGCATTGATCACTGAGGAAGGCTTTCTTATCTCTCCTTGCTTTTCTTTGGACCTCTGCATTCAGATGGATATATCTTTCCTTTTCTCCTTTGCCTTTAGCGTCTCTTCTTTTCTCAGCTATTTGTAAGGCCTCCTCAGACAACCATTTTGCCTTCTTGCAAAGGGGATGGTTTTGATCACCGCCTCCTGTAAAATGTCACAAACCTCCATCCATAGTTCTTCAAGCACTCTATCAGATCTAATACCATGAACGTATTTGTCACCTCGACTGTATATAATTGTAAGGGATTTGATTTAGGTCATACCTGAATGGCCTAGTGGTTTTCCCTACTTTCTTCAATTTAAGTCTAAATTTGGCAATAAAGAGTTCAAGATCTGAGCTACAGTCAGCTCCTGGCCTTGTTTTTGCTGACTGCATAGAGCTTAACCATCTTTGTCTGCAAAGAATATAATCAATCTGATTTCGGTATTGACCATCTGGTGATGTCCATGAGTAGAGTTATCTCTTGGGTTGTTGGAAAAGTGTGTTTGCTATGAACGATGTGCTCCCTTCACAAAACTCTGTTGGTCTTTGCCCTGCTTCCTTTTGGTCTGCCAAGGCCAAAAAAACTTGCCTGTTACTCCAGGTAACTCTTGACTTACTACTTTTACATTCTGTTCCCCTGTGATGAAAAGGACATCTTTTTTGGGTGTTACTTCTAGAAGGTCTTGGAGGTCTTCAGAGAACCATTCAAGTTCAGCTTCTTCAGCATTAGTGATTGGGGCAGACTTGAATTACTATGATATTGAATGGTTTGCCTTGGGAACGAACACAGATCTTTCTGTTGTTTTTGAGATTGCACTCCAGTACTGCATTTTGGACTCTCTTGTTGACTATGAAGGCTACTCCATTTCTTCTAAGGGATTCTTGCCCACAGTAGTAGATCTAATCATCATCTAAATTATATTCACCCATTCTGCTCCATTTTAGTTCACTGATTCTTAATATGTTGATGTTCACTCTTGGCAATCCCTATTTGACCACTTCTAATTTACCTTGATTCATGGACCTAACATTCCAGGTTTCTATGCAATACTGTTATTTACAGCGTTGGACTTTACTTTCATCAGCAGACACATCCAAAACTGGGTACTGTTTTCACTTTGGCTCATCCTCTTCATTCTTCCTGGAGCTATTTCTCTGCTCTTCTCCAGGAGCCTACTGGGCGCCTCCTACCCTGGGGAGTTCATCTTTAAGTGCCATATCTTTTTACCTCTTCATAGTGTTCATGGGGTTCTCCAGCCAGGAATCCTGAAGTGGTTTGCCATTACCTTCTCCAGTGGACCATGCTTTGCCAGAACTCTCCACCTTGTCCCGTCCATCTTGGGTGGCCCTACATGGCGTGGCTCATAGTTTCACTGAGTTAGACAAGGTTGTGATCTATGTGATCAGTTTGGTTCTGTGATTATAGTTTTCATTCTGTCTCCCCTCTGATAGGTAAGAGGATTGTGCAAGCTTCCTAATGGGAGGGACTGGCTGTGTGGCAAAGTTGGTCTTATTCTGATGGGTGGGGCCATGCTCAGTAAATCTTTAATCCAATTTTCTGTTGATGGGTGGGGCTGTGTTCCCTCTCTGTATATATAGTCTATATTTGTTATCAAAGTTAGAATTGGAATAAGCTTTCAGAGTTTCACTCCAGCGTATGCCCTGATGTCAGGCAAGAGTGATATTGTTCCTGTAAATGTCTTTCTTATAGATGTTTTAAGAATGACAATTCTCATTTTATTATTTCAATTTTCAAGCACCAGAAACTTCAGGCATTTTTTTTTTTAAAGTATGGCATTGTAGGGACCAGTGGTAGAAAAATTAGATCGCCTCGTCAATAACTCTAACTTAAGCACTTACACCTTGTATGTCAATATATGTCATCAATGTGATGTTTTATACCATCAAGTTATTCTGCCTTTTCAACTTATTGAAACTCATTTGCTCTTAGAGATATGAATTCTTCTAAGCATGATGACTGACCTCTCTCTCCAGCCTGTTATTTAGAGGTAAAAATATTATGGGGTCAATAACCAAGCATAATTTTCCCTGAGTTTTCCTGGTAAAACTGAGAACTGGAATTTTTAGGGCTCTTCTATTCATCTTATTTGTCAAGGGTACAATCACATACCTGGATTATATTTTATAACATTTCTCAGAGCCTCCAAAGCCATTTCAACTCTTGGCAAGCGGTCTCCATGTTGCTCTGACTCCACTTTTGCAGCATGAGTGATAGCCATGAAGGTGTGAAGGTACTGGGCCTGGGAACCTATATAATCCAAGAGACTTGCAGCAAATGCTTTTGGAACCTAAATCAAGTAGAAAAATAGTTAAAAACATTTGTGTCCTTAGAAATAGCCTATAACAAAGACCCCACAGTAAAAGCAACAATGAAACATTTCAAGTCACAGAAGTGATTAAATTATACAGACACATGAAAATACCTATGCATTAAATGAGGACCGAGAAGAAAAGGGATAAAATTCAACTGCACTAGAAAGTGTTTGTCACTGTTGGTCCAAATCCATTAGAAATCTGATATACTCCCATCAGTAACGTAGCATAACAACTCTGAGGTAAGAGTATGTCTTTACTTTACTGAGATAATTGTTAATATGATATGTAACTTCTATAAATTGGTTGCATTTTTACATTTAAAAATTATATATATTAGATTATAAATTCAAAAGGAAGTTTTCAAAGAGACTTCAAAAATCACTAAACTCATTCTGCTAAGCAGCTATTTTTATATATTATTCTGTGATAAATAACATACATCCCAGTTTCGTAAGTTCCTTTTTCCAAGAGCAAACTCTAAAACAAAGCCTCACTTCTTTCTTACTTACAAACCAATCAACCACCAAATCTTTTGTCACCCCCTCCAAAAAAAACTACAACTGAACTTTCCTACATGATCCCCAAGAACTAAGGAAAGAAAAGATTATTTGCTTCTGGAGGTGATTAGGAGTCATCACAAGAAAAGACCTGATGTGACCCACTCATCTAAAAATTCTCTTTGCGCTCCCCTTCTATTTTCTTAATTTCTTTTAAAAACTGGCCAGAGATAGACTACTGTCTGGTGGTCTGACATTTAACATGATAGGGTGAGTATGTAAAAGGCCTTACAGTTCCACAAGAGACAGCAGAGCTGCAGGCATATATACACGATACAGTGGAGTAGCATTATGCATAAAATATAAGAAATAGCTGGGAAAGGAATAAATTCTTACTCATGAATCCATTAAGTTCCCCAACATTCAAAACAAAGTCACATAAGTTACCAATGGTCACCCTATCACATACCCCAGTTAGTATAAAATATTTGGCAAAAAGCAGATATTATTTCAATGTACACAGTGTGAATAAACCAGTAGCTTTTAATAACAAATGATCAAAAGTTATAGACAAAATCAAAGGTGGAGAGCTTACCTCAAGTGGGAAAGTAGGGACTTCATTATAGACCCTAACAAAAATCTCCCCTACAATAAGTTCTTTGGCATGATCACTGTAGACAAATTCTGATCCATAAGTTTTGTCACAGTCACCCTTTGAAAAAAAGAAAACAAATTGTTAGATATAAATCAGAATTACTAGTGTGTAGTTTATAAATCTAGCCATATTCAGTTTAATAACTTATCAGATAAATAACTTCAAAGATCCATTCATTTTTCCATAGGAGAAAAATGTGGTGGGATACACATCACAGCACTTAATGTAATTTTAACATTTGTAATTAGTAATATGGACTAATATGGACTAATCTGGAAAAGTCATGAATGCGTGAACGTGTGCTTAGTCACTCGGTTGTGTCCGACTCTTTGTGACCCTTTGTAGTGTAGCCCGCCAGGCTCTTCTGTCCATGGGATTTTTCAGGCAAAAATACTAGAATGGGCTGCCATTTCCTCTTCCAGGGGATTATTCTAACTCAGGGATCAAACCTGTGTCTCCTGTATTGCAGGCAGATTCTTTAACTGCTAAGCCACCAGGGAAGCCCCTAATAGAGTTATGTTATATATAGGCAGAGAGTTATATTGTTTTTTAGTCCAAATTTGAAACTCATTTTAAAATTTCAAAAGATCACTGAGGTCAGTCAACAAAGTATCTTAGACCTAGTGTTTGTAAGCAAGTATGACATGTGGCTCTCCTCTCAGCAGACATTTGGCTTGGTCAGATATATAGGGTGACAGAATTAAGAGATGAACATATCTGAACTGGTTTTAAAAAGCAATACATTAAGTGATAAAGTAAAGGAAAACAGGGTCTCTGAGTTAAAAAAGAAGGTAATATATCAGTTGACAAATCAAGAATAACTTCCATTTAAGGATAAAGAAAAAGATAGAAAAATAGGAAAGAAATAGCCCCAAGAAGATTTTGGTTAAAATTACATAAAATTTAGGTTGGACTGAAATAATATGTAAAAGTGTATAATAAATTGTAAAGAAAAGTGAAAGTGAAAAGAAAAAGATAGGAAAATAGGAAAAAAATAGCCCTAAGAAGATTTTGGTTGAAATTACATAAAATTTAGGTTGGACTGAAATAATGTGTAAAAGTGTATAATAAACTGTAAAGGAAAGTGAATGCTCCTCTGTCCATGGGATTCAGGCAAGAATACTGGAGTGGATCACCATTTCCTTCTCCAGGGGATCTTCCCAACACAGGAATTGAACCTGGGTCTCCTGTATTACAGGCAGATTCTTTTCCAACTGAGCTACGAGGGAAGTGGGGATAAACTGTAAAGGGCTAAACAAAGAAAGAATGATATTCTCTCTCTTCTGGTAAAAAAAACAGATCATATGTAGAAATCTGAGACTGGTTCTTCCTAGCTCTGCAATTCTCAAAATTGCAATCTCATTCTCTATCAATGAAGAGCTCTGAGTGACTATCATGAAACGAGTGGTAAACCAAATTTTGCATAATCCAGGATACTCAGTGATGGTTACTCTTTAATGAAGTCCAAACTCACAAACATAAATGTCTTCTAAACCATCAAGATTCAACCATCTAGTTATGTATTATCCAGGCCAACTCCTTATCTCCCATTGTACTCTCTGTCTTTTGATTTTTTTCATGACTTACCACCTTCTCCACTAGAAGGTGGCAGGATGCAAGAAATTGTTAACTTACTTTTTTAATCATGCTTTCCTGTTGAGATTCAAGAAATTCAAGTAGTTCTGCTCTTGTAGAATTGTTCCATATCAAATAGGGGCTCTCTGTGTTACTGTTAAGCATCTTCAAAATCTATAAGACAGAATATTAGTGTTTCATAATATTTAGGAAAAATATTGAAGATATCGTTCATTAAAACTGTCTATGACACACCAAGCACTGTAATAGGAACCTTAAGTACAATGGGTTTGAATAATTTTAACAAGTTTGAAAATATAATGTTTACCATTCTGCAGCTGAGAAAAATCAAGACTTCTCTGAGAAAGATCAAATTATTTGTCCCAGGTCTCACAACATTTAAGTGGTGAAACTGGAATTCAAATTTGAGTCTGTTTTCACATCTCATTCTTAACACTTGCTCTGCTTTGCTGAAAATCACACATGATAATTTATTAAAGCATTTTATAAACAGTAAATGTAAGTTTAAAAAGAACACCATATGACCTTTACATACATATACTTGAAAACAAAATCTAAGTCTTTATGAAGCATACTCCTAGAAAGGGAAGCAGAATTTACGGGCAGAGATTCAGTTCCAATTTTCTCAGCCAAACCCTGATTCAAGGCTGAATTCAATAGTTCTGCAGACATAGCTTATGCCTGCTTAGCCATCTAGAGTGCTTTCCCTTTGTGTTGCTCTACTTGATTTTAAGTGTACACACACACACTTAACTCTCCTTTAAATGTTTTTTTGTGGGGAGGGAGAGTGGGGGTGTGTGTCTCATGGCTTACAGGATCTTATTTCCTCAACCAGGGACTGAATCTAGGTCCTTGACTCGAATCCAAGTCCTAACCACTGGACCATCAGGGAATCGCCTAAGTGTTTTAATAAGAAGTTTTTACACTTTACACTTTCTGAGTTTTGTGCTAGAAGGAAAGAAGGGAGTTATTATCCCTGGATGTATAGAGCTGCTATCATCAGCACCAAGACAATAACCAAATTTCTTAGTTGACAGGACAGCATATAAGCATTTTCAATTTTTAGGTTTCTGAGAGCAATCAACATTATTATGTTTCTCTACTATGTAGAGGATCTTGCACTATTTGTCAAAACCCAGGCTAGCTCTGAAGCACATACCTCAGTAGCACTAATCACAGCAAGTTTTCTAGCAACATAGGGGGTCAGCATGCCAGCTAAACTTTTCCTTATGGTTGGATTTTCTGGTGTTGCTTGTTCTTCAGGTAGATAACCTCCAAGGCGACTTAGAGCTCGGACACTCAGTTTGGCAAGGCTGTTGGCTACTTCCTGTTACAAAAAAATTAAGACATTAAATTATTAAAATAGATCTCTTATCTTACAGGCAATAGCACATTTATGGAATCAAAACAGTATGGAAGCTATCCAAAAGTCTACAAGCAATAAATGCTGGAGAGGGTGTGGAGAAAAGGGAACCCTCTTACACTGTTGGTGGGAATGCAAATTAGTACAGCCACTATGGAAAACAGTGT